TTATCTATCCAAAGCCCTGATAACACAAGTTGTTGACAGTACACAGTCGATTCCCCCATCCACCTAGAATCCTTCTGCCATTGTAATGACATCCTCGATTGGGTCTCGCCTCTCTTTCCTTTTCTTTCCTTTCTCTTTTTCCTTTCTTTTCTTTTTTTCCCTGGTAAATGGTGCCACACTCACTGACACCCTGCGTCTTAGTGTCTTTATTGCCTTTCTTGTGGGGTGGAGAATGATTAAAAAATAACACGACCAAACAAGTAATCATGGAAATAGAATAGACGGATTACTTTTTAACGGAAGTTCTCAATGCAAGACTCGAGAGCCACTCAAGTTGTATGTTTACTAAATGAAGTGTGTGAGAAGAAGTAGAAGTGGGAAATGAAGATCATGTTAAGAGGTTTCTTGCATATAATCAAGAACACTTTCATTTGTAATAGCACATCTATTTAGCTCTATAAAATGGTCCTTCTCCGGCTAGTGATTCCAGTTTTTAGAAAATGTCGATGAACTTTCCGTTTGATTTCTTGAATCGAAAGTTAGCAGAAAGGTACAGTTTAGTTCAGTCGCTTACCGACGAAAATTTTTGGTTTCCAGAATTCAGACAGATTCCAAAATAAAATAGGAAATATTGACTACCAAAAAGCATCTAGAGCTCTACAATACGGGTAGCAGCTTTCATGAAGAATGAATTCCAAAGAATGCGTCCCTCCATTGACGACGAAGTGGAAGAGGCAACTTTCAGAAGGCTAAGAAAGCTTGTACGGAATACGCATACTTGCCTTCCTTCATAATCGCTCTATCAAATTGAGACAGAAGAAGAGTATATTGTAGACTATATTTTAAACGCTGACACATTTATGTTAATTTTTGTAAGGTTCTACTAATAAACCTGTCATAATAAAGAACAAGTATTACTTTATAGGAAGAACAATTATTACTTTATAAAAAGAAAAAAGTATTTATAAGGAGAGCAGGTGTTACTTTATAAGAACATATATTGCTTCATAAGACGACCAAGTATTACTTTATAAGAAGAACAAGTATTACTTTATAAGAACACATATTACTTTATAAGAAGAACAAGTATTACTTTATAAAAATAAATATTACACTATTTACATTATTCAGACTATTGTCCTCATCTTTGTCGCCATATCTATTGTTGTAATAGACCGGGGCGTACAACGGCCGATACGTTGTGTATCGGCCGTTGTACGCCCAGGTCATCATCAGGTGGTTGGAATGTCGAACTGAACCCTTTATTTCGCTCACTGAAGTAGACTGTACTAGTTCATGTCTAATGGATATCAGTTATCAGTTATCTCATGTTAATTTACCTCTCCAAGTTCTCCACCGCCTTCACGAGGTATTGAACTCGCGCTCTTTATTTCCTGTCACCGGATATAACTAACGCCTTTATCCACTGTGTCATGTGTTCTTGAGGAACAAATATTACTTCATAAGAAGAACAAGTATTACTTTATAAGAAGAACATGTATTACTTTTTGACCAAACCTCGTTCATTGATAACTATGAATTCCTGAATATATCTATTTGCTTACTTTTTGTTGGCGTTAAAAATAAATATTGGAAACTTTGTCACCTACTGGTTATTTAGTTAGTTTAACTCATTTTGAAATAAGTTTTTTTCATTGTCCATTTTACTCAGAATTGGATCCGTAACTTTCGAAAAGTTATAGTTCGCAAAGGGACATTGCAGTATCAACCAGAATTAGAGATTCCACTCCCTATTTTTATCACCGATAAACGCTAAGTTATACGATAAGATACGTGGGCATATTGAGCTTATCTTCTAAAAGAATTAAAAGATAAATGTTGTTTCAGATACACCTTCAAATATGGTAATTAAAAACCAACTGAGTATATATATAATCAGTATATTAAAAGATAATTTTTATATCTTTTTCACATAAATAAGCGTAGCCATTGCCATGCATGTTCTTTCTTTGCCAAATGGAAACGCTCCTTGAAGATTTTGCAAGCTGAAATGAATGAAGTCTAAGGAAGGAGCAGCATTTTCAAACCTCGAGGACTGACGCTACAGAATCATAAACAAAGAACTGAAATAAATAACAGAAAAAAAAACTGACAACATTCAACAACATCAACAGTTGGAATAAATGCCATATGTAACTCAAAGAGAAAATGAAGACTTAATCATGACGTTCCACATGACTTCAAACAAAAGGTCTGATACCGCAGTCGACACTGTTTATAAATGCAAATGCTCTGTTTCAGATATTCAATGTTCGTCGCCTAAAATTATAGCAAGTTTAAAAATGCTACAAGAAATTATAATAATAAAATAATAATACTATATTGCTCTTCTTTGTACTGCACTTTTTAAAAAGTAACTGCTACGTACTCCATCTCCATTCCTTTCAGATATATATATATATATATATATATATATAAATTCATGAATCATTCACACAAAAAACAAATATAGAGGTTAATGATTTAAATGGCGAGAATACATACATACAAACAATATAAATGAGATACATCAACCCCATATCTGTATATGAATGATATGATCCCTGTTCATAAATTCCAGTTGCATAAGGTCTTTTAATTTTTACACGCTTTCGTCTGTTCCTACAGACATCCTCAAGTATGGAAATAGATTTTGTTCTTGTTTTTACTTCTCGGTAAAGCTTTGTATAAAAGAATGTATAAACATAAAAAATTTCTTTATACACACACACACACACACACACACACATATATATATATATATATATATATATTCATGAATTTTTCACACAAAAAAATGAATGAAAAGATCTTTGTTTCCATAAATTTCTGCCGCATTAGTTCTTATTTTTACTACAAGCTTTCGTCTGTTCCTACAGACATCTTCAGGTATGGAATAGATGTTGTTCTTGTTTTTTCTCTTAGTAATAAGAGGACAACGAAAATATATGTATTGTTATATCCGAAAATGCTATTGGAAATGAGTTATTGTTATAACGGATTCGGAGGTTTTTGTATATTATTTGAATTGTTTGAGACGATGGATTTCTCGCCAATTAAATCATTAACCTTTGCATTTGTTTTTGTGTGAATGATTCATGAATTTGTAAATTGATTGCACGTTTATCGAAATATATATATATATATATATATATATATATATATATATATATAGGTAACTATACTCGTTTCGAAAAACCTTCGAATTTTTTATTTGCCAATAATCAAATCAATCTCGAAGGAAAAAAGGTTTTAAAAAAAGAAAGAGTCAGGAACATGAAAGTCTGTGGAAAAAATCGCTCAGATACAGGTTCAAAGCCCAAAGAAAAAGAAGAAATCCCGACACGAGTAAACAACTAATTAAAAAGAGCTCAGTACAACCGTAGAGCAGACCTAGTCAAAACGAGTGAGCCAGACAAACCTACCCAGGTTTCATCTAAGCGGATCGTCATAGAAAGCTGGCGATCCGCTTAGGTGAAACCTGGGTAGGTTTGTCTGGCTCACTAGGTTTGAATATATATATATATATATATATATATATATATATATATATTTAAAAGAAAAACAGACCACTTTAAGGTACCATTATAATAATTTATTTCACCAGAGTCCTTTTAAATCTCTCAGGATTTCATCCTCCTTGGGATTACCCATATGGATTACCAAGTTCTTCATAATTTAAAATATATATATATATATATATATATATATATATATATATAAAGACGTTTTATGTTTATACATTTATATATATATATTTATATGTGTACGTGTGTTTATAGTTTTATTTTTTGTTACTAAAGGGCATTTTATTAGAAAGTGTCATTACATACGCAGTCGTGTTGCATTTCTACCTGCTTATTTGAGACGTGAAGCCAGTGAATGAATGTAGATTGTTAATACTTACACCTGAGTAACGAACTTATTCTCCTTTGACGACAACAAAACTTCATGTAAATGCTGACTACAGAAATATAGATGAACCGCGCCCAGTTTTGCTGACGCCTCATTTTTTAGAAAAAAAAAATGAACTTTGGTGACAACATAAATGATGGCATTCTACAAACATTGAATGAGGCGCGACAGACGAATATTTCTTCTTTGTTTACGCGCCTCATTCAACATGACGATTATTCAACTTCGCTTGACTGGCGCAGAATTTGAAAATGAATCAAAGGAAATATATTCGTAATTATTATATGCATTGATGGTTTTGGCGTTAAACAGCATAAAGTTAATGGTAAGTGAATCGCGGCGAAACCAGTTCAAGGTCTGGGTGGGGTACTTTACAAGACTGTTCTTAAAAAACGCAGGGTACAATTTTGTTCACATTCAGTCATGATCGAATGAGAATCTAAATGAAAAGAATGGGATTAAAGGCAGTATAAAACCTTGCCTAATCGACGTAACTCTTCATGGGCCTTCGTAACCGAGTCGGTTAAAATCACGTCGGATCTAACGACTGTTTCTCATACAACGGAGGAGACACTTTCGGATGCTGCCGGGCGTCAACTCAAATATGAATATCCACTAAAACAACGTTTAAGTGATATATATATATATATATATATATATATATATATATATATATATATATATATATATATATATATATATATGAGGAGGCACGGTGGCTTGGATTGAGGAATAGAAATGCTGAGTTCGAATTTTAATCGAATCCATTACATTCACTTACATGCTAATACACTTGGGAAAGGTGTGAATCCTCTACTTCTCCCTCCAGCTATGGGTAAATAGCAGGACAGACTGGGTTCAATAGCCTTGGATGGCAACTGGTCTAGGAGAAGGACAACTCTGAATTCAAAACCTGCGGAAGGATGTTTGGGGACCTTGTGGCACTTAGTGCACCAGGTCTCTGTATTCGGCCCTTCAAAAAGTGTGGATGGTCCTGCTCGAAACCTTCACCACTATAATCAATTCTCAAGTGCTGTTGTTACGTTGTCGGTTTCCTAGGAACTGATCTACTTGACCCTGATACGTCAAATTCGACGGGAGAGTATATATATATATATATATATATATATATATATATAGAGAGAGAGAGAGAGAGAGATAGATAGATAGATAGATAGATAGATAGATAGGTAGATAGATAGATAGATAGATAGATAGAGAGAGAGAGAGAGAGAGAGAGAGAGAGAGAGAGATGTAAAAATGATCTAAATAAAGAGATACGATCCACCATATATATGAGCGCTTACGTACACATACAGGTGGGGGGAAATCACTATTTATTTAATTAATCGTGTAGACAAAACAGTGCCCAGTTAAACAGAACTATAAATTATATATTAATAATTAAACATGTACTTACGTTTATAGTACGACTAAGAATACTACAAAGCTATCTGCTAAGAGGTCAATAAAATATATAAAAAGCACCAGCTGAATGGGAAAATAATATGAATACCGATGCCAAAATAATAAATACGCCGCCGAATGAAAATCAACGAAATTACACAGGCAACAGGTCTTCAACAATGTTAAGGACCATAAGCGTAATTTCCCCAATAATCTCAGTTGTGATTGCGTAACCCTTCCAAAAACAACATCGGGAAAATGAGCAAGGCTATACTCGAAGGAACCTGCAAATATGCTAAGAAGGCTACACGGATCAACCAATGGAGGAAAATAAAAGTTACTATCAAATGGTTCACCAAAATAAGAAAGAAAAAAGAAACCAACTTCATGCAATTTAACATCTCCAATTTCTACACGTCGATCACAGAAGATCTGCTAGAGGCGTCTATAAACCTGGACAAAAATAATTGCATCATCACTGACAAAGTGACTAACATCATCAAACAAACCCCAAAACCCATCTTATTTCCATGGTTCCATGTAGACCAAAAAAGACGTCCCAAACTTCTCCACAGCGATGAACGCGTTTGATTCTGCGGAAGCTTGTGAATTGATTAGTGTATTACAACTGTAGAAACTTAGATATACTTTTGACAGCAACAACACTGGCCTGTTCATAATGCGTAATACCAACCCACAAAATATAGATCGCCTTAAAAAGCAACTTATTAAATTTTTCAAGGATCAAGGACCACTAACACCAATGCTAATGTGATTAACTTTCTGGACGCCACTTTCGACCTATCCAAAGGAATATACAAGCCTTTTTCTAAATAATATTATAATCATAAATACATTAGTAAAGATTTTAACCATTCCCCCGGAATTTGAAATAATGTGCAGACATAAGTGCAACACAGGTTCTCTACTAACTCTAGTAATAAAGATATTTTCGACATATTTAAAACTAAATATGTAGATACACAAATAAAAAGCAAACACGAACTAAATCTAGAATAACTGGACAATAATAAAACTGACAACAAAACTCTAAACACAGAAAGCGCAACATAATTTAGTTTAACGCACCATATAACAATAATGTCAAAACCAGCGTAGGTAAAAATTTTCCTTAATTTAATCCCAAAACATTTCGGCAATATTCCATTGCGCATAAAGATTTTCAACAAGAACAACATTAAAATTAGCTACAGCTGTACTAAAAACATTGAGCACCATATAGAACAACATAATAATTTAATATTAAGCAAATATTTAACAACTTCAATAAAGTTCTAAATACATGAATAACGACTTTATTTAAAAAGCTAGCATTGGCATAATAGCGAGATTAAATTTTATTTTGGTTCCACTGCTAACCATTGGAAAACACGCTTTTACCACTATAAAATGACTATTACCAATAAGCAATGTTTAAATACCACGGCACTCTCTAATTTTTTTTTCTGGAAAATCAAGACAAATAACTATACATAAGTAGTAAATTGGGATCTCATTGCTATGACAAAACCTTTTAATCTCAACAAGGATAAATATACGCTGTGCCTATTAGAAAAAACGATCTATTCTCATAATCATAATCTGCTGAACAAGCGTAATGAGATTATTATTACATGCAGCCATAGAAGGAAATCTCTTCTCGAATATTTTGATGCTGGCTAGAGCAATTATCCTATCATCTGTGTAATAACCCAAATGACCTGCCTCTAATATTTATTTATTTTTATTTTTTCCATATACAGTTAACTTCCTTATACCATCCGAGCGTTGAACGGTTTTTAACCCAACGTTTCTTTTTTTATTTTGTTTTATTATTTTTTATTATTATTTATTTTTTCTTTTCTTTACCCTAAATTCTTTTTTGATTACCCACGCTTTTTATTTGGTAACTACCAACTGTTTTTAGTTCGCATTGCAATCATTTTATCCGTTGACTCAATACACATTAACGGATCAATATCCCTATAAATCTTACTATTAGTAACTTAGTTTATTTTTTGATATTCTCCTACCAACAGTGTATATTTTTAAAATTTATACCCCAATACTATATTATATTTATAATATTCTTCAACTTTAAATCCGCACACGATGTAGCATTGTTCCCATGAGACCCAGAAACAGTATTGAACAGTTCGTAACTTTTTGTATCTGATGATTTCCAAGGCCATGAAACTCTGAGCTGTACTTTAAACGTACGTATATGTGTAATTATTAATATATATATATATATATATATATATATATATATATATATTAGTGGACATGGGACTCAAAATCCAGAGGCGACAGTCAGTTTCATGCTAAACAAAATTGTCAGGCCATATGCTGATCATTGTGTCTAGCATAAAAGTCGCCGCTGGGTGTTAAGTCCAATGTCCACTTATTATTTATTATTAATATAAACGTTATTTTAGTCTTTTGGAGAAAGTCATACGGGTTCGATTCCTTTCAGGAAGCGTAGTATTTTTTCTGTAGGGTTTCTTGGTCTAGGCAGGTTTTATTTAATTTCGCATTTAAAGAAAATTTTAATAAATTTACGGATACGTGTTTAAAGAAAGTGAGGCTGAAGCTTGGTTGAAACTACTTTATACTAGCCGAATTACCCGCACCTTGGTGCGTGTCACACATTTTCTTTGTGAGAAAATGATTGATTTTAAATCATTGTTATAATGCTAGTGTTATTTTCTCGCCAGAATCTATCTTACATATTTTCTAATTTTTCCATTCTTCGATGCTTTGAATATTACTGCCACATATAGTGTGGTGCTTCTGAGATATATTTATTTATAAAGCTCCTTACAAGAATCTGCAAGACCAATGGTTCTGACTTGGCATCTCACCTTCAGTCGATTTACCACCGCGTAGCGTAGCTTCCCTGTGCAATTTCTATAGATACTTTCATGATAATTGTTTTGATAAATTTTTCTATACAGTACCTCGATACTATGAGCGATAATTCCTCTAAGATGCAGTAGTAGATTGGCAGCAAGATCTCATCATTTTGCAGTTAAAATTGCTAGATGTAACCGTAAGTTCTATGCTGAGAGTGTCTTCTCTCGCACTCCACGCTTGGCAAATTCTCTTCCGCTTTATTGCTTTCCAGTAAAATCTGAGCTTCAAAAATTGAAATGCTAAGTCAATCATTATTCTTTGTCGTCTCTATTTCTGTTCTTTTATTGGTTTTGCTTTTTAATATTAGTTTCTTTGTATATATTCTTTCACTTTCGTCTTAGTACCTTTGTTGCCTTTATTGGGTGTGAAATAATAAATATCTATTAGGACTGTCTAAACTCTACTTTGAAAGTCTTCAGAATCGATACAACTTTGTTTGGGTTCTCACGTTTAGTTGTAGGGGTTAACTGTCCGAGAATGGCAAACATTTCAAACCTCCGACAAAGCAAGCATTGAAAGAAAACTTACTACCAAAAACGAGACAACATACATACAGACACTCATGCACACATACGAGTACCTTCAGATACATACACAAACAGAACATGCACACAGTTTGCTATATCTATATATAAATATAAATATATATATATATATATATATATATATATATATATATAAATATAAATATATATATATATATATATATATATATATATATATAAATATAAATATATATATATATATATATATATAAATATATATATATATATATATATATATATATATATATATGGGTGTGTGTATGTGTGTCGGAACCGTCTCTAATTAACCCAGTTTTGTAAGGCTTTAAATTGATTTACATATATTATTCTCGCCGTTCAACCATTTGAAGGATTTCGAGCTTGTGTTGTTGGAAATTTACTGTTTGCTAATTTTAAATTTTAGCACTCAAAATTGTGACTGCTTTGTTTTTCAGAGTGCATATGTCTCGATACGTAATGCTGCAATGTAATGTATATATATATATATATATATATATATATATATATATATACCGAGAGGTTTGTAATTTGTAAATGTAATTGAAAATACACATGTTTGTCATTTCCTTCGCTTAAACAAATGCAAAAGTATAGTCATGATCTATTTGCGTCCTCTTGAAGTGTCGATGGCAAAGACATATTTTCTTATAATTTGGACTTGACCTGAATATAAAAGTTAGCTTGGCGTCATAGATTTTTTTTCTCTTTTAATTATATTACAAAAATAATTTTACTTACAATTCATTCCTTGAGCCGGAAACCTCGATCGACACCATATGTGGCAAAAAGATATTTCAAATATATACGCCAACCTGGGAATACATGAAAAACAAATACAAGTATTCAGAATGTGAGTTTTAATATGACAAAAATCTGATTAAATTCACTGATAACATCAGAATAAAACTCAGGTTAAAAAAACACAGACTGAAGTGTTATTGTGGTAAATTTTGTTTTAAAATGAAATCATTATTCGGAAAATCTATGTCATTGTGGAAAAAAAATTCGTTAGACTGACGTTTCGTCCTTTACGTCTTCATCAGACTAAAGTGATATTTACGTTCATGCGACTAAATATGCACACGAAGGGCAAGGGATGCTGAAATTTTAAATTTAAGTTTAATGTTTTTAAATATGTGTTAGGAAATTTAGTCGAGCGGATTTTATTTAATTTCTGTTTTCTTTGTTTGTTTTTATCCCTTTTTTTATTAAGTATCGGGCATTGTGATAATAGAAGATCCGGCGAGAAAAGTGAAAGAACTTGGACGTAAGTTTCTTGTGGATGATCATGCGATTAAAGCACTTTCCATATACATTTTCTTTAAATTAAAGTAGCATTTTTAAAATCTAAATTATGATCAAACTTATTAAAGTGAGCAACTAATGCATTTAATGTGTTGTTTAATAAAAGTTCCCTTTTATGTTCATTTAATCTTTTATTTAAATTCCCTCAAACCATTAAAAGTATGACGATTATTTTATTGTCTCTATGCTAAACGCATTATTTTTGATATTTCATAACCTCTGTTAAAACGAGTTATTTCTGATTCAGTTATTATACCAGCAAAAACGACACATCACAGCGAAATTTACGGTGGAGCAATACCTTAAAATTCATCAGAATATTAAAATAGTACAAACGTGAAATTTTCACGGCTCTTTCAATGGGCTGTATCAGCGGTAAGGTATAATTGACGAGTTGTTAAGTGAACAAAGGAGGAGTTACAAATTGTGGACAGGAAGACTCGAACACCCAAATGTGATAACATTATCCACTTTTGATAAGTCATCTACCGTGTCTTTTCGTGGAGGTAGAGGACTTACCCGCATTGAAGGGTGTATAGCGAGTGAACGTAGGTCGATGGATTGGTATCTGGTAAACAGTGAAGAGACACTGTTAAGTAAACGGCGAAAATTTAAAAAAAAAACCTTGTAAAAGAAAGCATCGAGAACAAGGACAGTTACAGGAAGGAGGTTCTGAAATAGAAGTTAAAAGCAAGAGAGGCAATGTCCGCTTCATGGCCAGTTTGGGAGGAACATCAAAGACATTAAGACAAACGATTCCTGGGATTGGTTGACGAAAGGTGAACAGAAGTGCGTGACTGAAAGCCTGCTGGTAGCCGCTCAAAACCAAGCACTGAATACTAATTCTGTTTGCTAAAAATATCTACTTGCAAGTGAATTCGGACAAGTTCTGGCTGTGTGGCATGCAGGTGGAAAATGTAACCACATCATTAGCATTTTCTGAATAGGTGAGTAACGACGAAGTCTTAAGTAATATAGGGACTTGAAGGAAATATTTGTTTGCACTCAGAAAAAGACAATTTCTCGTATAAAAATCGACGAAGGTGTGCCTAGACAATTTAACACTAATATAATTTATAACAGAATCTGCGAGTAGGTAGAATCTGCGGTATCCTAATTGTTTTAATCTAGAGAAGATTATTGAACAGAAAAATAACACGAAGTTTGGTAATGAACGATAATACTTAGAACAAGAACAACACATATAAGATTCGCCAGCGGCGCGTAGAAGAAGTAGTCAACTGTTAGAAGTCACTCAAGTGAATTCCATAATGAATCTCTAACTTCAGACCAACATACAGTATTTACTACTGCATTTATGTGAATTGGGATATACACATTATCGTCCGTAGGTATGCTACAATTAAGAATTCACGTGAATGGATGGCAGAATAAGAGCAAGATTATGTGAAAGGTCAAAAGATACTTATAGCAAAAAACAGGAAGTTGTGGAGAGCCATAAACATTCATATCCTAAAGAGATACGATACATAAATGAAGAAGTTACCTCCGTCATTATAGTTATATGAGCATAGAGAATCTGCCAATCAGCTCTCTCTAAAATGAGGTTCAAACAATCGCTAGGAAACACATCTTGAAAATGAGAAAATTGAATTTAGTGGAAGACACGTTAGTATAGATTTCAACACAGTATGAATTTCTAAACAAAGAAAAGATTAGAGAGCATTGCTGGTTATAAAATATATGGAATATTTTTTTAAGCAATTCACGCCAAGCAATGCGGGAGTGCCACTAGCACGCAAGGGGTTACAGAGGATTGAGAACAAGAGTAAAGAGGCGTGTTTGCGGAAAGGATACAGAGAAGGATGGGGGAGAAACCCAGAGAGTCAGATGTCGATTGACATTACATTTGTATATTTGATGATTATAGTCATTGGGAAGCAAGTAAGAGGAAGGGAGTTCCACAGACGGGAAGTGCGGGTGAAGAAGCTGTTTGAGAAGAAGAGACGGTTACATTAAACCTTTTGACAGTGAAAGGGTGGGACCGAGATGCCAGATTGGTAGCTTGATTAAATTCATGCAGTCTGTGAACCAGCGAAAGTAGCCCGTCGGAAACGTTGCCGTGAAAATAGTTGTAGAAGAGACAGAGGGGAGCCCTGGCACGTCTGTGCGAAAGCGACTGTAGATGAGATGCCAGGTCAGGAACGATCGCATTGCATATTCGTACAGCGGGGGCACCAGACCATTTATGACAGCAATATTCCATACGAGAACGGATGGTTGATTTATAGATTTGATGGATGGATTCATACGAGAAAAACTTTCCGGCACGACACAGGTAACAAAGTCGGTATTTGTTGTGACCTTGTTAGGGGTCAGAAATAAAAACACAAGAGAGGAATTGAGTTAAACAAATATATTAACAGAAACAGTAATACAAACATATACAAACGAGAGTGTTACAGCAAGAATGTTCGGTTCGACTATCAGAGCTGACTGCTGGAAACTTCCCTCTCTAAAAGGCAGTACCTGCTTCTATTTATAACTGGCAGAGTCCATGCGTGCGTGGGTAAATTACCATAACAGTATTTGATCAAATTTTGGGTAATGGAATAGCTTTTTATAGACGTGTCACTGTAAACTTTTTATTGATTCCTTCAATACTTGTTTGGCATGCGGTCAGTTGTTCATTTAGAATGAACGGAAATGAATCATGAATTATTTTGATATAAAATAATGCTGTTATATGTTGCGTTAACATAAAGAAGTAGCTAAGTGTAAACTAGTATAAAACCAGACTTTAGTCAAGTCCTCACTTGTATCACATTGTATTTAGTATTATTTTATTAAATAGGAGCAGATAGGTTCGACTATCAGCCTGTTCACTATCTTTCTCCGTTTTTTGAACAAGGGTAAATGTTTATCCTTTGTTTCCTGTTTAGGATTGTGTTTCCTGTTCTTTCTCTTAAATTGTTCCCATTCTCTTTCACTCCCTGTAGCTCTTCGCGTTTTAGTGGCATTATCGCCTTACTCAGGGGGTGGGGGTGAAACGATGAAAAGGAATTATCCAGCAGAATATAGTTACCTGTTTTACGGCTTCTTTTTCGAAACAACTCTTTACACCTGAAGATTGCTATAAGCCTCGAGACATTAATTATAGTAGGCACTTACACTTTACCGCTATTAAGAGTTTTGTCAAAATTTTTTCGGAACTCACATGACCAAGTGTTGCAACTGAGTTACCAAAAACAACAATAGAAACAACAACAAGTTTATTAACTTTTGGTACAGAGAAACATAATATAGAATAGAAACTAGTGAAGAGAATGATTAGCTGTGAATGAATAACTGTTTTCAGCAAAAACTACTGCTGCTACTGCTTCTCCTGCTACTCCTCTTTATGTAGGTTTATTTTTGTCTTTCGTTCGACGGCCGGGTCCAAACTTGTAGGGGAATAGTCTTCATCACAACACCAAGTCTTTTGCTTTTCACCTCGGCTTAGGTTGTTTGTTTATAGGTGCACTTTGCATTTTCTAGAATCCTAGATATTACGAATTTAAACGCAGTACTGGAGTGGCAACAAGGTTTCATCATTTTACAGTTGAAATGACTAGATGTAACCATAAGTTCTATGCTAACATTTTCTTTTCTTGCATTTCTCTCTTGTGGAACACTTTTCCAGCATCTTGAATTTTTTAAATGATTTCCCCCTAAATAAAAATAAAGCCACTAAGAGGAAACAGGTAAATATGTGTGAGGGGATATGACAGAAAAAAAACAAAAAAACAGTATTAAGTAGGAAGGACAATAAAAGAAAATTTACAAGGAATTCCACTCAGGTTTCAAAAAAATCAAATGCAATTTCAATCATTATATTCAGCATTCTTAATTCCTGTTTTTTATTGTCCTCTTTCCATAATAATGCTTTGTTTTTTCATATTCTCACACACTCAGTAACCCTTGCGTCTCAGTAGTTTTATTACCTTACTTATCATTAAGTGATATGATAAAAATGTTTTGAATATAGAGAGAAATGAAGTTTTTTTCCATACGAATTCGAAATCTGAAGAAAACAATAGAATCGAATGACTGAAACGTTGTCAGATTAATGAAAGCAAAATAACAGAAAACAATGAATCAGTTCAATAGACTGACCAACTTTCAGTTTGGGTTTGATTTGTTTTGTTTTACGGCATATCAACCTCAACGAGTTATTTAATGCTGACAAGATTTTTATTCCTGGTAATATATTTTTCAAAAATATTGTTGGTAATATATTTTTTAAAAAATGTATTGCTGATAATATTTTTTTTCAAAAATGTATTGATGGTAATAAATATATATTTTAAAATGCATTGATGGTAATATATATATTTATAATGTACTGTTGGTAATATTTTTTTAAATGTACTGATGGTAATAAATATATATTTTAAAATGTATTGATGGTAATAAAGCCACTAAGAGGAAAGAGGTTAATGAGTGTGAAGGGATATGAGAGAAAATAAAAAAAAATCACTATTGAGTAGAAAGGACAATAAAAGAAAAGATACAAGGAATTTTAGTCAGGTTTCATCTTCAAAAAATCAAATGCATTTTAAAATGTATTGTTGGTAATATTTTTTTCAAAAATGTATTGATGGTAATAAATATATATTTAAAATGTATTGATGGTAATATATATATTTAAAATGTATTGCTGGTAATATTTTATTCAAAAATATATTGATGGTAATAAATATATATTTTAAAATGTATTGATGGTAATATATATATATATATATATATATATATATATATATATATATATATATATATATATATATATATATTTAAAATATATTGTTGGTAATATTTTTTTTTTCAAAAATGTATTAACGATAATATTTTCTTTTCAAAAATGTATAGCTGATAATATTTTTTTTCAAAAATGTATAGCTGTTAATATTTATTTCCTTCAAAAATGTATATTTATTTTCCTTTCAGAAATTGTATTTTCAGAAAAAGTTTTGATGGCATTAAAACCTATTTTATACTTTCATAGTGTTTTGAGCTCTTTTGGTGGGTGGGTTAACTATTTGCCCATAGCAGGGTTCCTGACAAGTGCTGCCACCTTGGGTCAGGGTGGACCTGGGAACAACAGCAATTATGAGTGTTAATCATCATGACGGTCGTTTTCGAGTATAGAATCCAGAGGTTAGTAGTGAATATTTCGAAGACATTAGGAAAGCGTTATTCAGGTTAGCAGTGGATATTTTTGGTAAAAGTAGCAGAGCGTAGTTCTTCCTCCTGTTTCTCTTTGCCTGACAAGCTGGACTGGACATTCGGGTAGAGTGAACAAAAATGGCCGCCTTTATACACGACGGATTGAATATTCTACGTCTTCTGATTGGTTAACCTTCTATTAGTGGACTATAAAGGGAGTTAAGTCATTTGAGCCAACTCACTAGTTACATGTATATACCCCGTTATTCTGGTTGGTATTTACTAGTGCTTACAGTGTTGTTGTGTGGCGTAAGCCAGTGGACGTTTTTTTTTATGGTGAACTACAAGATTCAAAAAGTAAGTTTTGCGGCCTTTCCTTTTATCGATGGAACTGCTTGTTTTTGTGGGGAATACCCTCCCGCTATGGCGGAGGTGACCCAGGTAAAAAGAGCCTTTGGCCAGTACTTCGACGGCACCAGCTGCTTGGGTGCCGGAAAGGCCGCAAAAAGGGCCAGACTATTACAAGAAACGGCGGGAAGAATTAAAAGAGTTCATTACGAATGATGAACTCGTACCGATGCCTTCGGTCATGGAGACGGTGGCAACAAGGACAATCTCCCTATTGACAGTCGATATTAAGACCAGGAAATTCATACCGGTCAATAAGGAGCCGATGGAAGAAGCCCTAAAGGCGCTGAATATCGGGGCCAAGGTCTTGGCTCGTAGATCTAACGCCTGCTGGGACGTTTTGTTGACAACAGAGGAAGCTGCAAAGGCGCTGGCCGGATGCACCCTCACCACGAAGACGATGAAGTTGCAAACAGAGTACATGGGCACGCGGAAAACAAGGATTTTCCTACACGATGTACCCATGTTCATTACCGAAGACCAGGTGGGTGCCATCTTTTCTGACTACGGTCATGTGGAGGGGGTACCGGCCATCAGGAGTAAGGCGGGGATTGCCACCGGTGATATAGAATTCATGGTGACATTAAACCGCCAAAGCTTCAAAGATATTCCCAACAAAATTTTGTGTGATAAGCGGTGAATTTTTTGTGGTAGTGGAGGATCGCCGGTCCTGCTGTTGGGTTTGTGGTGAGGCTGGACACCTGGCCAAGAAGTGTCAGACCAAGACGCCAGCACCGTCGACGAAGCAGGCACCGGTACCAACATCAGTGGTGCCCAGAGAAGAAGTAGCAAAGAAAGCGTCCAGTAGCGAATGGACGGAAGTGGAGAGGAAGAAAGCAAAAGGGGCAACCTCACCTCTCAAGCAGCAGCAGCAGCTCCTGGAGAAGGCTGCAGTCAGTCAGCAGCAGGAGCAGAACGTCGATACAAATAAGCAGCGGGAGCGGGTGCAGGACGTCCTGCAGGAACGGGTGGCCGGCAAACAAAATCAGAAGTCGGAGAGCCCCAGTAAAGAGGCTGCTAAACAAAAGCTGCTGAAGCAGCAGCAGCAGGTGCAGCAGCGGCGGGAACAGCGACAGCAGGAGCAGGAGCAGCAGCAGCAACACCTCCACCAACAAGAGAGGAGGGAAGAAGAAACAGCAATGGAGGTAGAGAAAATGCCTCCACCGCGAGCTGCGAAAAGGAGCAGGGAAGAGGACCCTGAGGAGAGAGAAACAAGCCATTCTGCTCGTAGCATGTCGGAGCGAAGCATGGATAGAACCAGGCGGCGCTCCTTTCCTGCGTCGCCAATAAGACATTCCAGCTCCTCCAAGGTCTGGAGCGTCCCTTCTTCCCCTTCCCGTGCTCCAATCCCCTCTTCCCCCATTACACCCCTAAGTTCCTCAGCTACTTCCCCACACTCATCTTCCTTCTCCCCGCCCCATCGGCCCAGGGAGAAGAAAAAGAAGAAAAATATTTTCCTTGGCCAGAAGGCATCTGTAAGGTCGATAAAGAGGAGGCCAAAAAAGACCTTTCCAAACAAAAAAGGGCCCTTTTGGGGATCCTATTTAAGATGGAGGAGGTGGACGGATCCAAGAAACTTCCCCAAAGCTCCGGGGGTCATCACCGAGGTGAGGGACACGGGGGACTTCTTGAAGGTGTGGATCCATATTTATGAGGCTCAGGAGGCTAACCCTAAATTAAGGGTATTAGAGAAAAACAATGAAGACCTCAAAAAAATGAGGCATTTTTGCTCTGGGAGGGTCCCGGTATTGCTCCATTCCTCGTTATATAGGGCAATAAAATTAACATACCCTACGGACGTTGGCGGTATTGTCCTGGGGGGTCGTATGACGACCGAGCTGGGTAAGGGGAACCTGGGACAATCCATCGGGGTCCTTACTACTGCAGATTTCCGCCCTGTATGTGAGTAGGTTGTTTCTGTTTTTTATATTTTACAGGACCTAGAAGATGGAAATGAAGGTAGCGACGTTGAATGTGAGGGGCTTGATGGATCGGGGTAAGGCTGACCGCCTGCTCCGGGACCTCTTGTCCCTTGGCGTGCATTTCGCCGCGATCGAAGAGACCCACTTTGTTTGTAGTTCCGATGCGTGTGTGCTGGAGGATTACTTTGTTGTCTATTCAGCATATGGGGACCGGTTTGCCAGAAGAGTTTCTTTGCTTGTCAGACGTACTCTTAATGCGAAGGTGGACCTTGTGCATACCGATGCCGAGGGCCGGTTGATCGTGGCCGATATTGCCGTGAAAAGTGGTTTGTTCCGAGTCGTTGCGGTTTATGCGCTCAATGACTGGGATGAGCGGGTCTCGTTTTTTCGGCGGTTGGGGCCGTTCCTAGTGGATTCAACGGGCCTAGTTTTAATGTAGGCCTGGAATGCCATCCTGGACCCCAAGTTAGACAGGGGGCAAGATGCTAGTGGGAGAAGGGGCGATCGTAGCCTGGTTGATCTGATCGACGATTATGGTCTCGCCGATAGATACCGGGTCGATCATCCCGTGGGGGGAATGTGGACGTGGGCTCTTAATTGGCCTTTTGACAAGGTAGTTAGCTACCTTGACAGAATGTTAGAAGAGCCGACATAGATCTACTAGATTGCCCTACGTTCCACTGGGTAGGCTACTCGGACCACAAACTCGTTTGTGCCCGGGTGGCGTTAGAAAATAGGCCTAGAATGGCTGGGTACTGGAAGTTCAATCGGTCATTACTGGACAGGCGGGACTTCCAGGAACAGCTAACTAGACTAGTGCAGCGGGAGCTAGTGGGGGTGGTTATCGGGAATAATTGGAAACGGCTCGCTCTAGATAGAGCTGAAAAGTTGAAAACGCTTAAAGCTAGTTATTCCCGGGCAGTGGCTGGGGGGATCCCCTAGAGATAGCCTTAGCTAAGGAGGCCCTGGAACGTTTGAATAGCGAGCGTTACATGGGCCAGGTAATTAGACATAAGTTAAGCAAGATGTCTTCCGAAGCTGTGAATTTGGGCGCAGATCTGCGCAGGGAAGAGGTCCGTCGAGGTGGCGATCGTTACATTCGTGAAGTCGAGTCCCCGGAGGATCGTACTCTTCGGGCCACTGACGACATGTGCGAAGCGTTTCGGCGCCATTTCGAGAACCGGTTTACTAAGGAGCCTGCTCTCCGGGAGGAGGAGTTTCGCAGCTATTTGGCTGACTTTCCTCGGCTTTCGCCGACTGAAGCGGTTAGCTGCGAGGGAGAGATCACGGAGGGCGAAGTCTACGCGGTATTGAAGAAGGTCGGCAGAGGCAAGTCGCCCGGTCTAGATGGTTTACCCTATGAATTGTACTTGAGGCTGTCGCACATCTTTGTTCCGATTTTGACTGCAGTGTTCAACAACTGGTTTCGGTCGGGGTCCATCCCCAACCGGATCACCAGGGGTGTGATCACTCTGTTGAAAAAAGGCAAAGGTGGTGGGAGGAAGCTAGATGACTACAGGCCCATAACTCTGCTAAACACAGAATTAAAGATTATGGCCAAGATCCTGCAGGAGCGTTTGCAGTCAGTTGCCGAGTCTCTGTTGGGTCCTGAGCAGACTTGTTCTGTGAGGGTCCGAACAATTCAGAGCAACCTGCATCTGATCCGCACGATCATAGAGGGTGTAAAAGACGACGAAGAAGCCGCGCTGATCAATTTGGATCAGTCCAAGGCATTTGATAGGGTTGACCATCGCTACCTTGCTACTGTCCTGCAGGCCAGCCGCTGGATTCAAACCCAACTTCTGCCGCTGGATTAGCCTCCTGTATCGCTCCCCCAGTGATGTGGTACAGGTGAACGGAAGGTTGTCGGAAGCTTTTGTACTGTCTAGGTCGGTTCGTCAGGGTTGTCCGCTGCCGCTTCTCCTTTATGCTTTGGCGTTGGAGCTTCTCCTTCGCCGGCTGAAGGATGAGACTGGCAGTCCGGCCCTACGTGGAATTGCCATGCCTGAAGGGTCTCGAGCCAGGGTTTCCGCGTATGCCGATGACGTATCTGCTTTCGTGTCGTCCCGCAGCCACATTGAGGCGGTGCAGAAGGTGCTTGATCGGTACGAGAAGGTGACAGGGGCCAAGATAAACCGCGACAAGTCGTCCGGCTTGCGGTCAGGTGCCTGGAAGGGGGTCGCTCTTCCGGGCCGCTTCGGTTGGACGGACGGTCCTGTCCGCATTCTTGGAGTGTGGTTTGGGCCCGACTTCCAGATGGAGAAGAATTGGTCTGAAGTACGAGCAAAGGTCGATTCTGACGGTCAGACTTGGAATCGACGGAGGTTGTCCGTGAAGGGCAGGGCGGAAGTGTGTGCTACATACATTTTGCCCCTGATTCTTTATCGATTATCCGTACTTCCTCTCTGTGAGACCCACTGGAAGGCGCTCGAGCGATCGCTATCCTCCATTTTATGAAGGGGACGCATGAATAGTGTCGACAGACGAGTCTGCACTAAACGTCCGTGTCATGGGGGGGCTGCGAATGCCGCACCTGTTGAGTCACATCCGTGCCTCTAGGTTGGCTTTCCTACGCCGCGCATTGACTGGAGGAGATCCGATTCTGGAGGGGATTGTTAGGGACGTGTTCCCTAGTCTTACCATCAGTCCCCCCATCTCGAGGGTTAAACGCCGTCGTAAACCCCGGGATCAATCGGATTTCCTTCGCGAGTGTCGATTGGACTTGAATGCCGTTCCCCGATCCAGTGACCTTTCACGGCCTAGGAAGGTCTTCTATCGTGAATTAGTGAAGAGGCCCGCGAAGGATCCCCTACGAGATATGCTCGGCTTGTTGGAGGAGGAGTATCGCTCCTACTGATCTTGGGCGCCAGCGGCGGATTACCTCAGTAACCCTGAGTTTTCGCTTAGCTGGCGATTGGCTCGGAATCGGCTGCCTCTCAATGACAAGGCTTTCATATGGGGTTTGGCGGATTTGCCAGACTGTGAACGGTGCGGCCCTGGTTTGAAGAAAACGGCTTGCACGCCTTCTACCATTGCCTCCGGGTCCGCCCCTTATGGGGCCATGTCGGCGAGCTGACGGCTCATCTCGCTCCCGAACAGCTTGTGTCCATTGATCGCGCATACGCGGTGACAATGTGTCGCCCCGTATTCCGGGGGTGAAACGGATGGTGTTTCTTACGCTGCTGG